TCGTTCGCTTTTCAGTTTTAACCCAACAACGCTCATCCATTATCATAAATTGTCCACTTGGCTTGTAGCCAAGGATCAAACTGTCAAGTTCACTAGCAACCCTCCGAAAGAAAGAAAATTAATTGAAGAAAAAAAAAGAATAAATTTGAACCTATTTTCCTGGGTAAGTGCACTTACCTCGATAAATGCACTTACCCATATTCTTTTTTGTTTATTTTACCCGGCTAAGTGTATCTTTTGGGAGTACTTACCATTTCAATTTTGTTTTTATTTATCTGGGTAAGGAATCTCTAGAGATCCAAGAGTACCACTTTTTGGAATGCCCTCTCTCAAGGGCTGTTTGGATGCAGGCCCAGGTTGGTCTTGTTCTAGAAATTTTTCTGAACTCTGGCCAAGAGGATCTGATCCAATGGTGGTGGCAACATAATTCTCACTTGCAGAATAAAGTTCTAATGTATAATTATATTGTAAAGATATGTGCCATTTTCAGAAGTTTATGGGACGCARGAAATGATCAAATTTTTAATAAGGTGAACCCAGACAGACCCTCTCCAAATTCTGAGAAAGGATGAAAGTTGCTGCAACTATAAAGAAATCGAACTCAGAATTTCGAATCCACCAGATCTGCAATCAGATTGGAATTTGCAAAGAGCTCTCCTTACAGACCTCCTGATCATCTTAGTGGATGGTTCTTGGAGTGCCACCACACAAACTACATCCACTATTATATATATGTTCTCTCACAGGTCTCCTCTTATCATGTCAAAAGGACAACCACGTTTGACAAGATCACCAGCAGCAGTTGAACTCTAGGCAATGATTAGAGGTTTACGAAAGTTTTTTTGTATGGGTATTAAAGCAAGTTTTTTGCTCTCGGACACCAAAGAGGTTTCAATGAAGCTGAAAGGAACAAACAGGCATATTACATGGGACCTATAGGCTTTATATGATCATATATATGAACTTCACTCTTTTTTTGAAAATATTACAATTCTGTATGTAAACAGGAACTTAGTAATGCCAGCCCTGGCAAAACAAGCTAGGTATAGAAACTCTTTTGTAAATAGTAATGCCAGCTTGGTAAACTTAACTCTCCTTTTTTTGGAATCTCGTAAGAAAGGGACCCAAATGTTCCCTCAATTTCCTTCAATGAATCTTTTGCAGAGAAAAAAAAAAAAACTAATCAAAGTCTACAAAGGGTATCTCACTTACTCGAGTAAGTGATACCCAGAAAATCAATTTTGTTGTGGATCCTACACATTTCTTAAATAAGAACATGGGTGAATTAGTCAATGGAAACCACAATTCCATTGACCTACTTCCCTCTTCAAAATTCCAAAGCTTAAGTTGCTTATATTCCCTTAGGCTACATTTGATCACGTTGTAAATCTAAATTTACACTTTGGATTATTACATCGATGGGTTCATGAGAGTGTAAAATGGGAAGCAGATGTTTGTCCCATTTAACACTATTCATGTTTGGTAAATCATTGAGGTAAAAGTCCTTGCAGTCCTTGCTGGCCGGCCAAGAAACAGAGCACCGCAAGCGGCGGTGAGCAGTGTATCAGACGCAGAAACTGGTGACCGGGCGTTGCAATAGGAGAGGCTCTCATACGTGAGCGGCAGTGAGCGGCGTATCAGACCCAGTTCTTGCACTTGGCTGCTTTTGTTGGAGCTCTATCCGAGAATATAATGGGAGCTTGCAATTGCACCAGTGGACGAAGAGAAACCCATGTACATAGAGTCCATGAAAATAGAAGAAAGATCAAGTGATGTCGACAGTAGGGGAATCTCAAGTTTGGGGTAATAAAGTGGAGCTAATGTTACATTGAGTTGCTTCTCTACACCATCATACTCTATCCAAACTTGCATTGGATCTCCGCTTATGAGGTGCAAGCTCTTGTTGATCCCGTCTTTGCTAGAATAATAAGTCGTTGGAGTTGATTCAATCAACTTAAGGTTGTTCACATCGATCCCAACATGATTATCATTTATATCAGCAAATTCGAGGCTAAGAATTGTATCTAGATCTATGGCAAAAACGCCATCGAAGAAAGTCTCCATTGTTAGTTTCATTGAACAGTCCTAGGTACTGACTTGCCACGGCACTTGGGAACCCCATGAATGGCGAGAAAGCTAAGGCGATGCCATGGCCACTCACAGTAGTCAATTGGATAACCATGGCAATGGTAGAGAAGGAGAGAGACTGGGGATATTCAGGTGAAGAGGAGTTAAACCTTAGAGGAGATGGGTACAGAGCATGGCCAACCGGTTCTTGCCCTGGCAACCACTACTGTCGTCGACGGTCAACCACGGCAGAAAGGGCTACGCCCCACCATCATCTTCCTCCGACGGTCAACCACTGTTGTCGCCGCCTCTCTGTTCTCATCAGAGGAAGATAAAGAATAGATAACCCTGTCTCGAAAGAACCTTGCCCCGACAAAAGGGGCAACGGACAGATCGCGGGTTTGAGTTTTTCACTTTACCCTTTTAACCGTTGGGCAGATCGGTAAAATTTTACATCGATTTTAGTGATGTAAAATTTTCACTGATTTTCAATGAATTTTCTGACAAGAATGGACTTTTACACCGATTGACGAGGTATATTAACACTTACTACCAAATGCCTGCAAAATTGAACCGAGGTGTAAAGTGTATCGCGATTCTCATTTACACCTCTACCAAACGCAGCCTTAGGTAATTAAACACTTGTTTTTTTTTTTAATTTTTGTAGCATAGGGTTGGACAGCTTTAGAAGCAGTTAAAATTACGAGAAGGCTTTCTCATGAGAGGATATCAGTTGAAGGAGACTCTAGGCTCATTGTTGATAGTTTAAAAGGATATGGATCCCCCACGGAATATAAAGCCCATTATTGAGGAAAGCTAGAAGACCTATAGTTAGAAGGCATGCACTAACAACCGGTTACATTCATGAGGAAAGCTAGAAGA